CATTATTAGAGTCCAATGAGTAAGAATTAAATTTTGCTAAGTGGCTATACTATTATATCATGAAAACCATTAGAAAGTCTCTCCAATAAATTGACCTTAGATAATAAAGTTTGTAAAAGAAAATTAGTTGTTCCATTATTAAAAGGCAATAATAAAGTGAAACTATTATTTTGGGTACTTTGTTCTTTTTAGAGGCTTGATGAGAATTTATGAAATTAAGTTGACCGTAATTTATTGAATACAATATTATAATTAATTTTATCAAACCTCTCTATATCGTAGATTGCGAAATGAAGTCTTAAGAGCAAGTTGTTTGATAGAAATAATCTTTTCAGAAGCGCTTAACTATTAGAGCTACCTAATTACAGGTATCCATTCTGTCACTTCTAAGATGGAAATTTATAACAATTTTAACTATCTAAAAGCAATAGTTACAACCAGGACTAGAATTCTAATAGTAGGCTAGCTAATTCCTACAGACTGTGAACCATCTATCCTTGGCTGATCTATTCTGGCATGTATGGCTCATTCGATCACCTGTGTTTCGGTCAAGCTGAGTGAGGTGGCTACTTCAAATCGCTTCGGTCGTGACAAATACTTGTTGGCCCTGAATTGATGCTCCAGCTCAAGCAACTGTTGACTTGTGAATGCGGTCCGTGGACGCCTAGTCTTTCCCGGAATCAGGTAGGCAGCTGCAGCTGTAGCCGGCACCGTTGACGAAAAAGAGATCTCTTTGAGGCCATTCGTGAAGTTAACAGGTCCACTGGGGGAAGAAACTGACACTGAGGGGCATGAGGCGAAAATATTCGATGGGCAGAGACCACCACCGCCAAGAATGACAGGGCCTTTAGAGAAAGAAAATCAAGTTGTAATTGTCATTCCCGATGTTCTAATAAAAAAGAGGTCAAATTCTTTTGGCTAAATCTTTCGCAAATACATTAAATTCTCTATTTGAAATTTCCCCAGTAGGGCATTGATCAGGCGAGGAGATTCATGTCGATCAAGTTGGAAAAAATATTTCAAGAAAGTTGGGTAAAGTCACAAAAGTACATAAAAGGACTATCTGGGTTTTGATATAACTTCTGGGATACCGTTTCTGTAGATACTTTCATTTCTTATGAAAATGCATGACAAGAGATTTTTAGGTAGATCTCACCAGAAGAAGACTGCTGATTTCTATCGTTCTGCAGCAATTTGGCTTTAATACGACGTTGACGCAGTCCATGTGACATCCTTCCTTGTCAAAAGTGAAAACAGGCTGACCTGTCGTCAATTGTACCAGTGGGTAGACACTGCCAGAGCTTAAACTC